AACTGTATTCCACATCCCAAGGGTGAGAGTAAGAAAAGCTCCATTTTATTTCTTTTAATGTATAGATGTACTTTGTTTGTTTATACCTATATTTTTGATTCCTCTGATACGTTAAAAGGCCTTACTACACTGTCCTTTTGCTTTAGCTAATCGTAAAATATTAACTAAAACATTGCATCTCAAACCTACATTTGTATGCGACTAGTGCTCCTTCCCGACATTCTTGTTCAGAAGCCTTCAAGCTTGTGGCACAGTATGTTTTCTATAATCCCATTTCTTTTTTAATCACATGCAACCCCTTTTTTTGTATTCTATTGATGTTAAAAAGAATGAATGCAGCCCTTGCGCTATTAAAAACAAAAAGCTTCTTACTTTCAGGAATGCATTGGCAAGACTCCACAAGAACAAGATTTAACTTTTGAGCATGGCAGTGGGCATACAAGGCTAATGGGTGGTCCTTAAAAAAAAAAGAAAAAAGAAAAAGAAAACCCCCTGTAATTCATTCAATAGTACATTAATATTATCTTTTACCTTATGGTTGATTAAATTCTTGCAAAACGCTCAATGTGCATGTCACAATACACATGAGAAATATGGAAGTGTTGTTTGGCTTTTACAAACTGTCATTTAAATAACTATTTAACCCATAAAAGTTTTGCTAATGCATGAGGATCTCTTATGATTCATTGGCCAAAACTGAAATTCATTTGTTTTGCCTGTATGTGAGAACGGATTCAGAAAAAATGTTACAGAATGAGTCAGTCTATTTTATAAGTCTGTCAGATCAGCTGTGCCCTTAGACAAAGAAGGAATTATTATAACAATTTTGCTCAAATAATCTAAATCCAGATTTGTTTTACTAGGAGCACCCTTGCTAATTTTTCAGACTAAATAGAAAAAGCAAACCTTCCAAATACAGGGTTTTTTTGTAGCCTTTCTTCTGTATCTATAAACCTTGTTTTGTTCCACCTTGTGAATGATGTCACCCCTTCATTTAGATGACTTAATATGCTACTTAACTTGCCCTGTAGTCCAAGAGCAGCTATGGGAATAACATTGTTCTGGTAGCTACTTCCCCATTTGAAAAACCTCTTAAAGCTGTTATCCATCTGCATTTCACCCATCGTGTGTGAAACATCTATACAGAAAACAGTAAGCTCTCTGTTTCTTACAGTTATATGCCAGACTACAAACCAATTTATACTCCAGTAGAATTAACCCTTCCTTTAATTTCTCATCTCCCTCTGGGGACTTTTTTGCAAAGTTTTTTGGGGTCTTGGTTGTTTTGGGGGGATTTTTTAGTTTTTTAAATCATAAGCTCTAAAAACCAAATTGGTGAGACAGTTTGAAAGAATTCCCCATTTTTATTTCCTGGATGTCTGGTAACAGAACTTCACCTTTTTAAAAAATTACTGACCTGGTCTGTGATAACTATCTACCTGTTTATTATTTGAAGATGATTGGTGAAATTATCATGATTGAAGGCTAAATATCAATTTCTAAAAAAGTTACAAGTTTCGAGTTTTATTCTAGTTCAGATTATGTCAATTTTGAGTCTCATTTCTTACAATACACAAACAAATTCATACTTCTGTCTGAGAGACTTAGGGCAAGTATTTTCCCAAATGCAGTGCCTCAACACCATTACAGGTTTTCTCCACATTATAAACTGGATTTAGCTTGCTTTGTAACAAAATTGGTTTTTATCTCTAATTACAGTCACTTCCATTTGGCATTCCTTTTTTGTGGTACAAAGGGAAGGAGCTAAACTGGCACTGAATGAAATCTGATCACAAGCATCTCAGCATGGAGGAAAATCATTGGTTCAATCCATTCTTCTCACAAGTCACTGTGCTCTCATTGTAGGAAGCTCCAGAAACCACAGAAGTATAAGATGTACAGATGCACCCTACTGCAGATGGTTTTACAGGGCATACAAAATGAAACCAGCACTCTTCTCAGGCTAAGGTAACCTACACAGAGCCATACATCTGTTCACTCTAATTCTCAAATAATGAGCCAGCACTAATGATCTATGGCAAGAAAATATAATCCTAGAAACAGGATCATCCAAAACTTACACATTATTTTCATGAAGAAATAGGGTAGAACTTCAATAAGAGTATTTGTCCTTTCCAGGTGAGATACAAAATATTAAGCCGAATTAATTAAAGCTAATTAATTTGTCCTTCAATTGTTTAAAGAAACCCCTCTCAGAAAAGTTCCAATATACCCAAGAAAGTGGGAAAACTTCTGAAGGAGGTGTCATAGAAGGTAAATTGAGTGGAGACTAATGAGAGCAAAGCATTTTTTTAAAAATACAGCAAGGTTGAAAGGAATCAATTATGCAAATGCATAATTCAACTTTTTGTCTGAGCCAAGACACATGTTTCCTAATATTTGGAACTTTGCCAATTAAATTTCAAGTCAAAAGTCGTATTTCTTCTAGTGACAGCCAAAATACCTCCAGCAAACCTAATCGGGTAATCTGACTTGACAAACGCTATTATCTATTCAACATCACTGTAATTAATAGTTCAATTCATTTCAAATCACCTTGCACAACTGAAAAATGAGTAATATTAATAGGAAAAGATACCGGCTTAATTGTAACCAAAAGCATGCATAACAACTTATATTGACTTCTTTTCAAATTGTATTCAAGCATGTCCACAATCAAATCACATAGTATTTATATATACACTGTACAGCACATGAGACTACTTAGAAAATGAAATATGAAAACATAAAAATATAATTTCTAAAACAAATTAATACAATAATAGGTTCTGTATTATGACCTTACATTAAATATTAGCCTTTGTCATAACAATGGAAACAAAGGCCAACACTGAGAGACTGAGTCAGTGATCCACATATTCAGAATAATTTTATAGCACAGTATTTTCAATGGCTATATCATTGACTAAGAGAAAATCTAATTGCTCTTGAAACTAAACAGGAAAAAAAACTATCTTCATGACTTTGAAGCAACTTGTTTCATGTAACTGTCTGTACTCACTACTTCAGCTGCTGCAAGAAGGCTCCAGACTAAAGCCCTGTGAAGGTACTGAAGAGAGAGCTAGCTGCACTAATAACTGTCTTGAAGAGAGGAAAAGTGTCCTCAGTAAGAAGGAAGGGATGCTCCAAAAGAATGGATAGACTTTATCACCTTGAAAAAAAATGCTAGTTTCCTCACGATTGAATCCAACAGAAATACTCATTTGTCTCTTTTGACTTTCCTTGCTCCTGATGAGATGGTGTATTTTTTTAATTCCTCCAAAGTTTAAAGAAACTGCTAAACTTCAATAAGAGTGAAAAGAATCACACTCATGCAGGTATCACCCAGTTCCTCACCTATTTCCTTAAACACAGTAATTATTGAGGGTGCACAGGCAAAATAAAGCATTGCTTTGCATTCTCTGATAAGTGAAGTGACAAAAGAGATTTTGTGAGATCTTTCTCTCCCAGCTCATATTTTAAAGGACAGAATCATTTATTACATGTAGTTAAAGAACAATACCAATAAGCCAAGGTTGCTAGGTTTGGCTCAAGATCTGAGCCCTCTGTTCCCTGGTGTGCAGGATTGGGAGAATATATAGTATCTTGGCACCTGCTGTTAGCAGCTACTTAAGGGAATTCAAAAGTTAATTAACGTTTATAGTAATCCATAAAAGATGCTATGTAAGTTTTGAACTTCAGAATTTAGAGAATTTAAGGTTTCTATACTCCTTACCTCTCTACTTGTTAATCCATGGACAATGGACGCCAGGTGAAAAAATGTGCCACACTTTCATGTAGGTAGTTGTTTGGAAACATTTTACAACATAAGCAATTTGTTTGTATGAATTGGGAAGAATCCCATGACTGACAATGTTTGCTCTTTTCTAAAACCATAAGGCCACACTGCTGACAAGCCAAATTCTCTAGAATTACAAGGCCATCCAGTCACTGCTGCTCTACAGTACTGTGAGTTGAAGCTCCCTGAGGCTCCACAACCCTGCTAGAGATGCTATTGCACAAGTGATTCACTCTGCCTGTAGTTGTGCTTCCAAAGCATCAGAAAATGTCTTGAAGCCCCTCTGTCTACATAAGTGCTTTAGAAAAGTAGCAATTTACGAGCAAAATGGGGAAAAAAGTAGAAAAAAGTAGGGTGGCATATGGCCAAACTTTTGACTTAATTTCACCACAGGTTGCTTTTTATTTACAAGCAGCTAATCCGCTCTCAAACTACACAATAGAGCAGCCATTGGCAAAGACAGGCAGATAAAATTGGCATGCCTCTATATTGTTCTTGTTAATCTGAACCATTAACAGAAGGGTGAGAAGGCTAGTTTTGTCATTTAAACAGGCTTAAATCCTTTCTCCAAATGAGCTTTTGTCTACATAGAAGAATTCATCCAGGAAATTTAAGGGGTTTCTGTTAGTGTTGCATTCTCGAGTTGACTAAGCTACAGGAATACTAACCTGTTTATTTGGTGTTCATACTGTAAATGCAAAAATTATTGCCAGCTGTCAAAACCAAAAGGGGTTCAACCTGAATAAATTATTTCTCAGAGGTGAAACAGGATAAGATTATAAAGTGCTAAGAATCAACTATTTGAAATCCTGAACTGCACCTGTGCAACTAAATCTCCATTTATACAGGTGCTTTTCAAATTGGATTTGAACCCTTAAATTCCCTGATTCATCGCCTCAAAAACCACAGAAGCTCAAATAACTAATGAAATTCAGAGATAGAAGGGATTTAAATAGTTTCAAGCTGTGAAGTAAGGCCTAAGACTAACTATGTTCTTTGATTCACTGTTATGTGACATATCAAGCATAAACATAAGTTGCACAATTCAAATGCCAGAGATCATAGGGTAGCCAGTAGCTAAGTAATTATTTTTTTTTAACACAGGAGAGGTCATCACCTCGCCCATAAGCACAATACACAGACAAATACCTGAGGAAAAAAATGTATTGGTTAGCATGATCTGGTTTTGTTTTGATTTTACCTGGCACATCTTGCACATATATTCAATGTGACCTTTGCTTGAGGCTCAGCCGTATGAGCACTTCGGGTTTGATTGAATTTGCTCCCAGAAGACACCACACTCGTTACTCCTTCCATTCTGAGATCATCAAGATCCTCTGCAACAAGACAGAACAATGGGATGAACACATGATTAAATTTTGTAACAATAAAGGAGCTTCACCTGTAGAATCACTAAAAATGGAACTGCTCAAAAATTGGGAAAGAAACAGTTACTTGCACATTTGAGAGTATTTTTATTTTCATGTATTATCATCCTCTTATAAGAGGTTCCTTAAAAAATATTCAGTATCATTTCCACATCAAACCATGCTGCATATTTTTTAAAACTTTATTTATCTGCTTCATTTCTAAAAAACTTGTCATCAAGAGATGCTGTCCAATAGCTCTATTTGACACTGGACATATTGGAGACAAAAATAATTTTTTGAGTGTATGCTATTCCTCTATGTTTTTTTCACCATCTATTCAGTTCGTGATGAAAAAATATTGCTAAAATAAAAGTGTTCTGCTAAACCGAGAAAATGTGAAATGAACATATATATCACATTGAAAGGGACCATAATGTGCATACTTAAATCTACCATATTTCTATAATATGGGCAACTCATAATAAAAACTGAATTTTCAACTACTGTAAAATCATTTACATTTTGAAGGGAGACAGCAGAGGGTCTCAGAGATTTTTTTCCCAAGATGACACTGGAACAGTGTAGCTCAGTTGGACTGTAAATGAATCCTCTTGGTTTTCAGTCTGGCCATTCTTTAGAGATTAATCTCTGTATCTTTTGCTAACACAAAACACAAAATATTTTTTGCTAACACAAGTTGTCTATGCCTCATCTATCTATAAAGCCCAATTTTCAGTTGTTTATAACTTGCTTAGACTCTAGTTGAAATGTAAACAAGCAAAACACTGGCTAGCTTCTATTAAATTACCATATACTGACCATGTAACCATTCCATATACTGAATGATGCCTGTGTTTATGGTACACAGTAGGTCATCATTTGATTAAAATGTCTTTCAGGTATTTTATGCACATGTATTTTCATATATTTACATTTACAAAAGAAACCTAAGATCTGAAATTAAGCAGAAAGTACAAAAATATTTTAAATCTCAATACAAGATGGAGAAAAGTCACAGAAAACTTTAAAATTTAAAATCTTAAATTCTAATAAATTCAATCAGAATTTAAAATACACAAGTAGTCATTAAAGACACAGTGGAGAACTAAGCTGCTTTTCATACACAAAAGAATGAGCTACAATCCCCCCAAATCTTTACCCAAAAATACTTCTGGTTGTCCTTTATAGTTCATAGACCCTATTCTTACCACTATGCTTCAAACTCAGGGAAATGTAGTCAGATTGTCAGGATTATGTCCCGTTAACAACACTCTTTTGGGGAGACATGGATTTTAATAGGCAACAGTCAATAACAGCTAGGCTAAACTCACATGAAAATTTTGTGACCAAAGTCCTTAAACTACATTCTCTTCTCTGAAATGTTTTATTTTAATGCTTAAAAAACTCTCCTCCCCCCATCCCCCAGCCAATTCGTTGCCTTGATATAAACTGACAAGTGTACTGCAGTTTCTGGCATCATTTTACACCATTTCAACACCTTTTGCTTTAAATTTCATGTATGGTTAATGTACAAACTAATTCAAAGGACCTGGAAGGTTATATGATAGAGAGCTATGAAATCAATCATCTATGAGTCATTTCAGAAAAGGTATTACATATTTGGAACACATTATGTATTAAAATAAACACAGTTTAATTGTGCTTTAAAGAGGTGTGAAAAGTTCCATATTTTTTAACAGATGTAAACCACTGGATGAATTACAGGTTAAAAGAAATTGAAGCATATGCCTCAGGTTTTTCTCCCACTAAGTAGATGTGATTTCTTTAAATAAAGTTTTCAACTGTTCTCTGCTTGATTAACTTTTGGCTCTCTGACGACTAAGTGTTTTGACAAAGCAATGATACATGCTGCCCTTCCTGATACCCTTTATATTTGAATTTGGATATCAAATTCATGTATTTTTGTAATTTTTAGTCAGCTACCAGCCTTTTCCTCTCAAAAGAAAATTAAGTGGAACTTTGTACAAGAAATGTGGATTCAAGAGCTGCCTGTAGTTCTGGCCAACAGACAAGTAGGCAGAATAGTATGCAGTATTAATTTATTGTCACATGCTGTTAGACCAATACAGTAATGTGCATACAAAATGCAGATTTAAGATGCCAAAAACCTACATAATATACAACGGCTATTTTTCTCAAGGAATTTTAGTTGATCTAATTCAACATCGGATGGAACTTGTCCATGGCAAACTAAAAAAAGCTGTTAATAACACAACTAAACTGGGAAGTGTAACTCCATCTACCAAATCCAAAGAATAACCGCAGCATTTGATTTAATTTGATCACTGCAGCTCTGCATTGGCATGGAATGATTTCAGTTTCGTCTGGATACCTCAGATTTACACTGCAGATATTGAACATTTTCTCATTAAAGCAACTGTGCTTCGAGAAGTTGCCTGTTTTGCAATACCCTAACTTTGGATGGGAATTTTTGAGTTTGCAAACAAGTTTATATGCCATTTCCAGATCAACCCCATTTATTATTGAAGGTTTTTAATTAAAAAACAAAAACAACAAAACCAAAGCACCAATAAAACAATAAATCATACAGAAATGTTAGCACTAAACTCTGAGTGTATGTGTGTATATTGTTCAATAGTTCATGTGTGCTTTGCAGAAAAATATTTGATCACAAATAAGAAAGTTATTAAAATAAATACAGTCAGTGAATACAACAGTGCTTTTTAAGAGTAAAAAAAAAAGAGCTCCAAAGGTTCAGATGCTTCTATTGGAAAGAATCAGTCTTAGCAAAATAGGATTTCATTGGAGAGTCAATTCAGTTACAGGGTCTGGACACTGAATCTTTTCTCTTTCTTTGTATTCTTTGCTAGACCAACCAAGGATGATACAGCTGAGTGGCTCCGTGATTTTATTGAGCAGCAATGAGGTAATTCACAGAGAAAAGAGAGAAAGAAAAGCCAAGCCGGTGACTGCTTGTGTCATGAAAGACAAGAATACAACGAAACTTCTCAAATCCTTAGAAAATTGTTATCTCTGTATAGTAATAGGCTGGAAGTTCACATAAATGAAACAATCTCATTTATGCTAATAAAAGTTTGTTATTTTAATACATGATTGTTCACTGTATTTCTCTGATTTAATGTTCAAAGTCTGCTATTCTCTTAAAAGGGTATGTGAAGACATGGCTTCAGTCTTACAGAAATTTCCATTAAATATGTTCTGTGTGTTAAAAAAACTACATGTAAACTGAGCAAAAAGAACCTTACATTTTCCTCAAATCAGCAATTTACCAAAATGAATTCACACAGCTGCAATCTTTATGCTTTGCCATAACAACAACACACAAAAATACTTTAAAGTGAGATAAAGATAACAAGTGTAATATAGTATAGCACAGAACCAGATGTTTTCTAGACTAATAATGCTATGGGGTTTTTTTTATAGATATCTGTGATTTTTTTATAGAAAACTTTCACAAAAAAAGGAGAGGGGAAAAACAATTACCTACTTTAACTAAACAAGAATATAGCCCACTAACAAGGCCATGTTTTTAAATAGGACGTTGTTCACAATTATTTACTTCCTTTCCTTTTTGGGAGGAAGGGATGGGGAGAGGGAAAGGGGCACTCACTAGTGCCAAGTCTTCTAGAAACCGTGCAAGATTGCTTATTGTCTTGAGATGACAGGGTGTGGAATCATCTTACAAACACTTACAAGACTTGTACACCGTTCACTTTAAGGACAGACCCCTTCTTATGCAAAACTTCTATAAAATACAGCAAAAGCTTAGTTGCACAGAAGGCTTATGTAATCAGATCATACATTGTATTGTTTTATATGATACAGTCACTTTTGTCTCCTTCCTCCATTAAAAAATGCAGTAGTTTTGCAGGAGTACTTCGGGAAGTATAAGGTTCAAAACTGGAAAAAGTCTATGACAGCTCAGTTTGCTTGTTCAGTCTAATACTAAGAAAAGCATTAAATGTTTTCACGTGAGAGTAAAAATTCAGATAATTAATTCTGATTTATGTTCTTGCATGCCAGGAGTCAATTCTGGTGCACCAGTAAAATAATGCCTCTTTCTCTGAAGCAATGAATTTCTCAAGGTGGTGTTCTTACACTGTGGCAGACATTGATGTATTTCTTGTATATAGCATTGATTTGTCAAGGTCTGTTGGCTGAAGCACAGACTCTTAATATGCTCTACTAATGTCATTTGAAAATGAACAAACAAACAAACCCCCCCAACCAACCAAAAAAAAAAACCCAAAATGCAAACAACACACCAAACAAAGAAACAACACAAAAAGCCCAAATCAACAAAATCTGACTGCTGATAGAAGTTCTGTTGTGGAATCCAAACTGCTTCATATGTCATATTTTTATGTGTCTTATTATGTTAACCAATTCTCTCTGGTTTAGACAAATTACCTTGCCAAATATCAAGAGATTCCAATAACAAGTCCACAATAATTCCTAAAGAAATATTGCGGCAAGCAGGAATTAGGCTTACAGACAAGGACGAATCATTAACTTTGAATATCTGATGTTCTACTCCTGAAAAGCATATTTTAAATACTTGTTTCAACAGATGCAAAACTGGAGTTATGTTCTGCATTACACTAACTACAAGACATCTCATTTTGTTTCTTCAGTGTCATGGAGCAGACAATGCTGCTAGTCTGGTATATATGTTCTAATATGTTTATGGTAAAACATCTTCAAACAGCAGAATTTCACCTGGTTCTGACCCATGCCATAGACGTCTGATAAAAATATCATCCTAAATAAATACATCAATAGACTTTCACTCCTTAGGTGTATCTAAGATTTTTGAACACAATGTTCTGAAGGCATCTTACTTAAGAAGCATTTCAAGTTGACAATAAATTCCCTAAACGTTTGTGCTTTCACTGATGGATGCACAGAAATCCAATTGAAACATGATGCTGCTGAGTCCTTGAGTTTGCACATTTACCTCTACC